AAAGTGGGTGGGGGGGAGAAGAGACAAACAGAAGTGAGGATGGTGTGAAGATGGAAGTGGAGATTGGAGTGACGTGTTTGCAAACCCAGGAACGTAAAAATTGCCAGAAGGACCCTGCTGACACCCCGATCTGGGATTTCTGACCTCCAGAACTGTGAAAGGAGAAATAGCTGCTACGCTTAGCCGCCCCCACCCCATTTGTGGTAATCTGTTGCTCCATCCCAGGACACTAATCCATAGCATGACAGTGTTTCTTACCACAAAGCCAGCTCTTGCTCCACTCCTGGTATGGCCTTTGCTGCTGTGTTTATAGTCCTTCCAGGGCTGCACCACACCTTGAAAATGCTGTAGGGAGCCCCAAGCAATCTGAGTAGCTGGCCCATGGCCTGGTGTCTCTTTTATGAGGCTGTGTGTGTGTGCATGCTTGTTGCTACCTCAGGAGAAGCCTGGCTGTCCTAAAACTAACAGGAATGCACACCACACATACAGAGCGCTGCACAACAACGGGGGGAACGATTCGCAGAGTCCATAACACACATGGAACCCCTCAGAGGGCAGTGCACACCCCACACTGGGTACTACAGCCTTGAACACTTCAGCGCCTCTGGTACAAGCGCTTCACCAAAACTGCTGGTGGGTCCCCACCAGAGGAGCATGACCTTCGTCAGTGCTATGCAGTGGGTTCTGTATCTTGGAGCCATTACCAGGTGTGTGCGCATGCGCACATGTATACTCACACACAAAGGACCCTCTCCCTAGAACCAGGACCCAGGCAGGGCCGACTGGACCGCCCAGGACCTTTCTCAAATGCTGTGTGGTTTATTAAGGATTCCTTGGTCTGGATTCGTGGAGAAAATTTTCAGTGCAATTTCAAGTTGTTAAGCTTGAGCATTCATGTGTCAACCACATCCCTGACCATCGTGTTAATACATTACCTTTGCTGGGTTCTGTGAGCCATATTTATGCTATAAATATACATAAATACTTAAGCGATTTTTGTCACCCGACCGTCTTATGTGAACTTGTCAGAACCATTTGGACATTTGTAGGTGCTCCCCTTCCTGCAGAAGAGGGGAGAGGGTGGACTGGTAACAATGTAATGGCCCTTGGGTTGATGTGCTGGAAGTTACTGCCAAGCTTATCAATGAAGAATCAGCAATTTTTTTTCACTTGCTAAGTAAATCTATAGGAAAATGGATTTAAGTTGAAAATAATGTCACTCTCACACAGTCTTGAAAGCAAGTGTGTGACCTGTCCAGGGCTCTCAGGGGTTCAGCAGGGAAAATGAGACATAGGGTCAAGGGGGGTGGGGAGAGGAGGGGAGGCAAGGCTCCAGTGTGAGGGACTGATGATGGCACAGAGATGTCATTTGCTCTGCTGGATTTTCCAGTCGAGCCTGTCCTGTTCCTTACCTCATCCTCACCCAAATCATGAGGGGTATAGGCTTTTGGAGGCCACCGCTGGGCTGTGGGGGATTGAGCAGGCAAAGTTACCTCAGACTGACCCCTCTCCTGCTGCTCCTATTTCTCACCTTCCTTTCCTAGTCACCTCATAGTTCCTGTCTCCTAGCCCTGTTCACCCAGCACCAGACCCCTTTCCACCTTGTGCCACTTACATCAGAAGAAGCAGCTCCCTCAGGAGCTAGAAGGATCCATCCCCTCCAACCCAATGGCTACACACAAGGAGAAACTGAGACCAGCGAGGTGAAGGGAGCTGTCGCCGATCACACCGCTGCGGGAAGTAACCCTCGTCTGGGGTCTGGGACGGTGGTGGGCAGTCGGTGTTGGAGCCCAAAGGCCTCACCTCCTCCCGGGCTAGGAGGGAGCCCTGCGCCCACCCTGGTCAGGACGGGCTCCGAGAAGGAAGCAGCCAGGCCTACAGCGCTCGGGACCCCACCTCTCCCTCTGCCCGGTGGGCACAGGGGCCCGGGAAGCGGAGCGGCAGCTGCCAGGCCTGGCCGCGGGCCCTGCGTGGGGAGGGAAGGCCGCCACCGCGCCCTGGGTGGCCCGCGAGGGCGCCCCCCCCCGCTCCCCGGGCAGAGCCGGTCTTGGCCGCCGCTGCCGCCCCTGAGGCGCCCGCTGTCCCGGTGCTACCCGGGCCGGCTCCGGCCGCTGGGCTCGAGCTTCGGCACCTCCCCGCGGCCTCGCCCTCCAGCTCCGCGCGGTGGAAGCGTCCCAAGCCGCAGCGCCGAGCCACCGCCCGGCCGGGCGCCTGAGCTTCTCAGCTCCTGCCGTTTCCCTCTCTGGGGCCCCCCAAGCCACCTCGATGCGGGCGCCTCTCCGCCCTCAGTTCTCTGCCGGCTCCAACAGGAGATCTGAGACGGGTTTTGTCTCCCTGGGACGCCATCCGGGGTCTTCCTCCAACGTCCTGCAACAGCGTCCTCTAAGCGTGGTCCCGAGACCATGGCATCAGCACCTCCAGGACGTCGTTAAAAATGCAAAGTGTGGGGTCAGCCCAGCCCGGGGAGTCAGAATCTCTGGACCCAGCGTGTTGCGTTTCGCGGACCCTGCAGGAGATTGGCATTACTCTGACGTTTTGAGAGCCGCTGCTCCGGAACACTGACACCGTCCAGCTGTCCTCTGCACCAGCTGGAGGATTCAGCCTCGGGGACACCGATCTTGTCTTTGATCCCTCGATTATTAGTCTGTCTGCACAGCTATTCACTTCCTCTGATTATTGACTGGTGCCACAGGAAGAATTGCTACTACTCACAGCCCTGGGGTTCTGTAATAAAATTGTCTTTCCTGGGGATGGTCAGGAGTGACTTGGAAATTGACTCTCAGGAATTAATCCACTTAGGATCTCTTTAGATCAAGCGTCAATTTGTTTACAGTGGAGCTGGTGAACCCTGTGGCTCTAGCGGCAGTGGCCTCTGCTGGCTCCTAGTACCTGGTGTGGCTTAGTATCTGGCCTCCCCCTGGAGAACCATGCCCCCAGCTGCATAGACATCTGTTACAGACTGAATGAAAACCTGACCAGAGGAAGATACTTCCTTGACCTAGAAAAACGTGGAAAACCAAAAAAGACATAGCCATGACAGTTTGTCCTTTTACCAGAGAAGTGTTTAGTATTTCCGTGTGTTTTCAATAAAATGTAAAACAGGCATAACTGTAATGTTTCCCAATCCCTACAGCCCAAATCTTGGCTGTTAACTAGCGACCGAAGGTTAACCCAGTGGCCACAGGGAGTAGAAAACTATTGGCTTAGTGCTGAAGGTCTCCACTGGGGAGATTTACACTCAGCAACCTTTGAACCACACTGCCTTACCCCAGAGACATAATTCTGATGACAGAGTCAAGATCTGAGGGGGAAAAGTTAGATGTTGGTCATCATAGCCCCTCAAGTGCATCTCCCAGGTGACTGTCCCACCTACTTCACAGCATTTGAAAAGACAGGGGGATTCGCAGAAGAGGAGCCTCAGAAATGGGGTCTTCTGGCTGGGGACATCTGAGCGGCTGGTCTGACAGAGCAGGGAGAGATTAGTTCAGCTACATCTGTGATGTCAGGAGCCTTGAAAATATTCCTTCTCTTTGTCCCCACAAGTTCTCTTCAGGTATTTCTCTTATGGGAGTAATCACAGAGGTGTGTAAAGGAACCACAAAAACATGGAGGCTATTTAAACAGAGGGTAGAGAGGTGGGGCATTTTCATAGAACTTCTAATAATGTGACAATTGCTCACATTATTAGGTGAAACACACACAGAAAATGGTATTGTATTTACATTAAAAATGCTATGATTAACTTTAAGCAAAATACATTATTATTTATCTAAGTAAAACAAGAGAATGAAGGAAATTCACCAAAATATATTAGCCATGCTTTTCTCTGGGTAGTAGTATCAAAGGTAATATCTGCTTTTATTCATTTTTCTGTTGTTTTTTATAATTGTTACAGGACAGCAAATCTGTTTCAGGACAAAATCTGTTAGAGGATGGGGGAGAGGTACACCCTTAAAGCCCCAAAACTGCCTGCTCTAAGTGGGTTCTGCCATCTGCCGCGTCAAGATAAAACATATAAAACTTAGAGACTTTAATACAGTGAATATACAATACAGGACACAAAGAATATAACTTCCAAATCAAACACCTGAAGTTATCCATCCCCTCGTGGGCAAAAGTCAACCCAAAAGGGGTTGGCCCAAAGCAAGGCCTGAAAGCTGCCACAAGACTAAAGCACCTTCTGGCTGGGACTCATGGAAAAGGGTCAGAAATGGCCAGACAAGTCTGGGAGGAAAAGAACAAAATCAAAATCAATATAAACACTGCCATAGTCACCTCCCTACAGGTATCTCACCCACATCTGCCTTAACCAGTCCAGGGTGAGGAAACAAGCACAGCTTCTTCCTCACATGCTTGCTGCTCCATGTGGCTTCCTCAGGTCTCCTTCTTCTCCATCCAGTTTCCTTCTCTTCTCTCTTTTTTTCTCTGCTCAGCTCCACCCTCCTTCTGGGTGGGGCAGGGAACTTGGAACTTCCCCTTTCCTAGGGACCACCCTGTTACATAATGAGTATGTGTTTCTTTAGAATTAGAAAAATAATGTAAAAGCCTACCATGTTCTAAACATTGTGCCACAGTCATAGAATTAAAAAAATAATGTGAAAGCCTACCATGTTCTAATGTTCTAAACATTGTGCCACAGTCAAAGATGAATAATGACACAAGCTATGCAACTTCTGTCATCAGACACGGTCCGGATGGAGGGGAAATGCTCTGAAAAATCAGAATTTCCATGCTAGCTCATGTTATGACCCCCCTTTTCTGTATAATCAAAATATCCCAAGCAACCATCAGTTTTCTACTGGACTGCCTCAGCCTCATAAGGTGCTGCCTGGCTCAGGTGAGCACGCGCTGCTTCAGGATGGGAGAGTCCTCTTGGAATCAAAAATATTACAACTGGCTGATTAATAAAAACAATTATAACAAAAGTAATATTGTAAGACAAGGCAGTACTAGAATAATCAGAATTCTTTTATTGCCCAGAGGAGAACCCAAATCCCCTCTCTCTACTATCTCACAACCCTTCTATTCAATTTCTAAAGTGCTGCTAAAGTTTTCTATTGCTTAGTTTTCAAATAAGGAACTTCACCTAAATCCTCTATCAGCTTTTGAGGAACTTTACCAGCTCTTTGTGATTGACTTACTAGAGAATCACTCCACTCTAGCTGGGGACCTTACTCTATCCTTCACACTCCACCCTAATCCTTGACTTGACTTTACCCTCTAAGATGTCTTAGTAAATGAAGGTCATAGAATAGCATTTTAGGTCTAAATGAATTTTATTTTTAGCCAACCATCGCTAAAAAATGTTAGCTTTAAATTTTATGGACTTATCTTAATTTTAATAAATCAATAATGTTATAATCTTAGCTGAAGGTCTATATGACCCCAAACTGCTCTCAGAAAAAAGATGGTGGTCTCAGCCAATTCATATATTAATTGCCTGCCGATAATGTATAAAATAAACTTCTGCTGATAGCAGAACGGGAAGACTTGCACCCAACTCCAACTCCCGTGTCTTCCTCGCGCCCGCTCCCCCTTTTTTCCCTTTCAGGAATCTCCAATTGCTGACGCCCGCCGTTCCCACCTTGAGACCCTGCCTGTTCTATCCCCCAATAATCTGTGATCGGGGAACAAAGAGTCTCCGACAGAATAAGATATAAAGACGCATTTTCTGCCCTGGGGAAAACTGTGGCCAAAGGAAATGAGAGCTTCTCAGACACTTCCCTGCACCCTAGACCATAGATTTTGGCAGCCATTATGGCAGCCATTATGAGGAGTAGGGGCTGGCTACCTTGACAGAAAAATCCATTTTCATCTGTCTTCCAAGGAAATTGTCCCACAAGGCAGAACTAGGCAAGACCTGGACATCTGAGGGGCATGGGGCAGGGAAGGCTCAGTCAGGCTCATCCCATCAACCAATGCAGGGAAACATCCCTGAGCCTTAAATCGCAATGGTGACAGCCATTATGAGAGAGTCTAGGCAGACGGGCTAAATTTCTAGTTGGCTCGTATGGAATTCGGCATAGAAACAGAATGTAGGTACAAAAATCTGATGCTGCCCAGGACCTCTATGGCCAAGGGAGACTCAGTCAGGTTCTGTCCCTCCAATCTGGGCAGAAGCTTCTCTGAACCAGAATCACATGTCTCGGTTGCAGTTGGAGGGAGTTCAAGACTGACGCTAGCAGACACTGTTCCAACTTGCATCCTAAGGTGTTCAGAACCCAGCGCAGCTTGAGAGAGGTACAGCTCGGACTGCTGGCATCAGATCAGGGTGCAAGTTTCTTACACCCCGCTGCTCACCAGAGCATGGCTCACTCTCCTGCACCCACAGCCCAGCTATTGTGCCCACTCTAGGAGCAGCAGGACTGTCTGGGATGAAGAGGATTCCTATCATAACTTCTGCAGTTTTAGAACTCAAGGGAGAATCAGGTTTCTAGAAGAGGATACTACTGGACCAGGGAATTTTCAGGCTTATCCCCCACAAAAAGTGCAGGGGAACCTTCTCTGCACCCTAAAACTTAGTTTTCACAGTCATTATTGTAGTATTAGGGGCTACCTTAATGACAGATCCATTTCGATCTTATACCCAAGGAATCTGGATCCCAGAGCCAGGTTAGGTATCTAGAACAAAGTTTTCAGTGGTAAACTTCTAAGATCAGGGAAGATCAGTCAGACTCCCTTGGCCACAAGGGCAGGGAAATTTTACTGAGCCCTAAATTGTGGGTTTCAAGCCCAATTATGAGTTGCTTTTTTAATTTAGGTGTCATCTATACATGCATGCAAGAACTGGGGTACAAGCCAGAGGTGTGGGGGGTAAGAGGATTCACCAGAGACAGATGGGAAACAGAACAGGCAGCTTGACTGAAATCCACCGTTGAGGGGAGCAGCGAGTGAGACATGAGAGGTGTGCTGTGCCATGTGCGTCACCTTCTTGGCTGGGGATAGAACTCAGGCTGCAGGGGCTGCAGATAGCTTCACAGCACTATGTCTTAACACCTTGCGCCACCAGGGAGGCCCCCCAGGTGAGACCAACAGATTCCATTTCCATCTGCCTCATAAGTGATTTGGCACGGAAAGCAGGACTAGGTGCTAAAATGAGGCATAGTACTAGATCTACTGGGAAACTAAGTGTAGGCTTGTTTGTATATAACCTAGAAGCATCTGGAAATCCCAAACTACTAAGGGGTGCATGGTCTAAAGAGAGCTACCATCTGGGCATGCAAAGGTAAAAAACAAACAAAAACCAGACTCAGTATGAGCGCTCTTTAACAGAAGTAGGGTGCATAGGGAGATCAGAAAGGGTATCAACAATGATAAT